CCACAAAAGCTCTGTGGAGCTGGCACAGGTGGGAGCTGCCGTGCGGGTGCGGCGCTGTCGCGGCAGCGATCCCGTATTCAGCACTCGGGGCATTCCCAGGCCGCTGCGGGCCCTTTGTGCCGCTGAAGGGAGCCATATGCTGCAGAGGCATCTCCAAGGATCTTGCAGGGACAACAGAGAAAGGGATTTCTGAGCGCTGCTGAATGCGGCTGCCAATCACCCGCCGTCCAGGCCGGCTGCCTCGTGCGAGCCTGGAATGCGCGGCTTTGGCAAACACAGGCTCGTGTTTGGAGTCAGGATTTGCCATCTGGGGGAATGAGCTCCACAAGCTTTTAACCAGCATCAGTGTCTGCCCTGCCCTGTTCTCACGTTTGCTGCCGCTCCCAAGTGCAGCTCCTGTGTAATTCCATCACAGGGAAGCAGCTTCGGCGGCGGCGCTGCTGGAGGATGATGCTTCTCTGTGCTCGTACAGACAGTCTCTGGCTGTCCCTGAACGCACCAACCGGTGACCCACCCCCTCACTGCTCTGCTCTCCCACAGCGCTTTGCTCACGTCCTGGATTTTTGCTGGGTTTAATTGGCTCTGTAATAGTGTCGTGGCAGGAATTCCGCTCCCATCAAACCTGCTCCTCTGAATGTTCCCCCACAGAACGAGGGAGAGGACGCGGTGGAAGCCCCAGTGCCAGCCTGGTGTCCCCCGTGCAGGGTGAAGTGTGCAGCCTCTTGCTGCACGTCCACCAGTGTCCCGTGGAGCCAAACAGCAGCTGCAGGCACAGCTCCTGCCGGGGGTCAGCACATCACCCTCGTGTCTCAGGGCTCGGGGCCGGTCCCAGGTGCAAACTCCCCTTTCCTCCTCCTCACCCCCAGTGCCTTCCTCCCAGCTCTGGGGCCGACAGTGAAGTCCCTCTCGCTGGGCCCAGCCCTGTCCCTCTCTGCTCCACTCCTGTTGCTCCAGGGCTGCCCCCGGGTGCTTCTCTTCCAGGTGCTATTGATGCTTCCAGCGTGGTTCATGGGCCAACCTCTCCCGAGGAGCTGAGAGCCGCAGAGCAGTGAAGATGTGGATGCAAAGAGAGGGGGCAGCCACCCTCCAGCAGCCAGCTGGGTGCCAGCACCGAGGACCTTCACTCAGGACCTTCCTCCAGGACTAGGGACAAGACCTGTCCTCAGAACCTTCCCTGGGACCTTCCTGACTGTCACTCTGCGGTTCCCCCAGGTGCTCCATCCACATGGACCCTGTGCTGTGTGTCTCCCACAGCAGTCTCTGCTGCTGAATTTGCTTCAGAGCTGTGGGTGTCACCAACATTAAACCCTCAAGCATGAGAGCTGAACGCTGCAGGACACCAGGGCTCTGCCAACAGACCTGCCCAGGACCCTGAGCTCTCCACCCCTTGCAAAATCCAGAGCCAAGAGTGCTGGAAGCACCGGAGAGCAGCCCCCCACAGCCAGCCTGGGGAATAAAGAACAAGTTCCTCAGAGGCTGTGAATAAACCGTCGGTAACTAAAGGCCCCAGCAAACAGAGTTTGCTGAGTGTAGCCCCGGGGAGGCCAGCGGGGATGGGGGTGGGGTGAGCAGGGGGTGTCCCTGCCACGGGCACCCCACTGTGGCAGGAGCGCAGGGGCCTTTGGGGTGCCCACAGCAAGGGGAGAAACCCACGGGGCAGGGAGTCTGTCCCTGGCTCTGCCTTGGGAAAGCGGGCACTGATGGAGTTCCAGGCTCAGCACAGCCTGTTCAGCTAAAGCTGAGTGTCCTCACAGAGATCTTCACAGGGACATGGAGAGCAGCTCTTCCCTCCCTTCTCTGCGGCAGCTCCTCGTCCGTCGCAGAGGGACAGCAGCCAGTCCTGGGGACTGAGCCAGCGTGGGACAGGGATGGATGTGGCAAGAGGAACAGGGTGAGCTTCCAGAGTCTGCCCAGCACTCCTTGGTTTTATTCCTCCTCCTGCTTCCCTCATCCAAACGAGCAGGGCTGGGGCTCCCCCCTGGCTCCCCAGCAGACAGGAGACAGCTGGGTTCAGACCCCCCTCTCCAGGCATCCCCAGCCAGCACACACAGCAGAACTCTCCCTTTTGATTTAATGAATATCTGGAAATGTCATAAAGGACATGATAATAAAATATCAGATGCAGGAAAATGAGCAGCCAAAGGCATTTAAAAAGGAGACAAGAGTAAACGCAGTAGATTAAGACACTAATTCCCATCCCTTGTATGTTCTCCATCTTCCCTATGTCTTGACAGACAGAAATAAATGCCCCCACTTCCCAGGAAGCACTATCTGCCTCTCCCTGCTGGATTGTCACCACGGGGTGCCCACAGCCTCCAGCCCATTTATCCTCCAGGTTGGATGCTTTATCACTTTCAGAGGAGGGGCTGGGCTGGCTCATCCTGCGCTCCCACAGCCAGCACTCCCACTTAAAGGGCAGGTTAAGATTCTAATGGTGAAAGCTAAATTTGATTTTTACTGCTCTGAAGTGTCTTTGCAAATTAAAGAGCCAATTTGTGCCTTTGTTTAGGCTGTGCAACAAGGCAACAGGAGCAAAGAAGAAACCAGAGGGAAAAATAGTCTCAGGGCATTTAGAGGAGCTGCTGGGTCCAGCTGTAACTCTGTCACAGTGGGAGCTGGAGGTGAGGGTTTTCTTGCAAATGCAGCTTTGAAGCAAATCAAATGCTAGTAAATTCCCAAGCCCAGTGGTGCCATGAACACAGGAGCGGGATCAGCGACAGGGTGATGGATGTGTTAATGTTTTAACAGGCCAACCACCTCATAAATAATTTGCTGAGTTCTGGAGTAGCTGACCTGGTCACAGTGGCAATAAAAGACCATCCCCTGGGCTCTGCTCCAGGGCTCTGCAGTCCTCCCACGGAAAGGCTTAAGTGGCTTCTAACAATATCTATTTTATATTGTCACAGCCCAGTGCCCCACTAATGCTGCCAGCCCTGCAAACGCCACCATGTGAGCTCTGGGCATATTCCAGAAATTATAACAGAGGGACTGCTGTGGGTGAGCTCTGTGTTTACTCCGTGGGGAGTGGGACCAGTGTGTGGAGCATCCTGGCACAGAGCAGGGCTGGGTGAGGAGGGACAGTGTGCCCAGCCCAGGGCACAGGTGGTGGGTGGCCAGCCTTGGGGGGACTCACAAGAACCCAGTGGGGATGGGGCCATGGCCACCACGGGCCCTTCTGGGCAGCAGGAGCAGATGGAGCCCAGCCCGTGGCCAGGAGACGGGGTGCTCCCAGTGGGTCAGCCTTGTGTTCTGGGTATGCTGCTTCTGTACTGGGGAGTCCTCTTGTGAACTGGGTTTTCCTCTTGTGTACTGGGTATTCTGCTTGGATATTGGGTATTTGTGTCATTTATCAGGTATTCCCCTTCTATCCTGGCTTCTCCAGTTGCACACCATGTCCCCCTCTCCGGTGCTGGCAGGGAGAGCAGCGTTATCAGCTCAGGGCAGGGCTGATGCTGGATTCTTTGGGTTTCTAACCTTTGCCATTGTGGGTTCAGGCCAGCCATGGCATCTGCAGCTCTCCCCACAGCCACAGTGTGAGGCTTCCAGGTTTCTCTGTGCTGTTGGTTCATCAGTTCCCAGGTTCCTCCTGTGTCTCAGTGGGACGGTGTGACCACATGAGCTGTGGGATTTGTCCCAGCTGCTTCACTGTACCTGTGGGATGGGCCAGTGTGGTCATGTTTCTATAAATTATGGAGTTTCCAAACAATGGAGCCATTTGTCAAACAAAATTGATGGCAAACATCTCCAGCGTTGCACCTCCACGGAATTAAATGGGAGACAATGAGGAAACAGCCCAATTTTGGAGGTCAGAGCAGCAGGGATGGTCCCATTCCCTGCTCCAGCAGCACAGGGACAGTCTGTGGAACACGTGGAAAGATGTAGCTGAGGAGGAGGGGGACAGCAGCGCTTGCCTCAGCAAAGGCAGTGGTGGGCAGAAGGGGCCAAGGTGGAGATAGGTGTTGATGGTGGCTTTGTGTGTTGTTTTCTCCACGAGATCCATGCCTGCTCTAGTGCTGGTGGTGGTGGCAGAGCAATTCCCTCCTTGGCAGTGGGAGTGGGGACAGAAATCCCATCTGGGCAGTGACTGGCACTGTGCCTTGTCCCCTGCCTCTCTGCCGGCACTGCTGACCCCAATCTGGGCTCCCCAGCATGGCATCCCCCCTCGCTGCAGCATCTTCCCCTCAGAGCATCCCTCCTCCTCCCTGCTGGGTCCCCTGCACACACAGCCTCGTCCCAGCCACCAGGGGCAAGTGTGGCTGCAACGAAAAGCAAATTTAATATCCTTGCCCCTATTTTTGTAAATGAGTGTAACCATCAGCTGCAGAATAAATGACACCTAATTACGGCTGAGGGGAGTTCAGGCAGGAGGTCTTGGCTGGGAGGGGATCACAGGGAAGCTCCAGCACTGATGGAAAATGAACAAGATGCCGGCTGTAGGGAACCATAATTACAGAGGACTGACACACTGTGAGCTGTTTATGGTAATGAAGTGGTGCATCAAATCAAATTAACCTTAGTTATTTAACACAGAATGCACCGAGGACTCGGCTCGGGAGATGCTAAATCCAAATCCGGAGCAGTGCCCAAGCCGGGGAAGCGGCTCGAGCGCCTGGCGGGCGTCGCTTTGCTTTGGGACGCGTTCAGTGAGCGGCCGGAGCGCCGGGGCGGCGATGGCGATGGCGAGGGCGGGCGGGCAGAGCGGCGGCGCTGGCAGCGCACGGAGCCGCGGGGCTGCCGGGGGGTCCCGCTGCCTCCGAGCCCCCCAGCACGCGCCCCGTGGCCGCTCCCCGGCGGAGCGGAGCCCACGCGAGGGCCGTGTCCCGCCCCGGGAGGAGGGAGCGGGGCCGGGGGGCTCTCCCTCCGCCCGGGGGCTCTGGCAGGGGGACGCTCCCCTGCCCGGGGTGCCGGGCTCGCCGCCGGCCGCTCCCCGTGGCCGGGCGAAGGATGCGAGTGCCTCTGTGCTCCTGCCAGAGCTTTCATTTCCCGTCTCTCCTCCCCACGAAGGCTGCGGCGCGCGCGGGAGGAGCGTCCCCGTCGGGATCCCTTCGCGCTGACGGGTGAGTAACCTTTCCAATTAACCCGGAGACTCCGCTAAAGATTAATGAGCTTTCGGAACAAGGGTCCCCTCTGTGCGCCGAGCTGTTGGGCGCTGCGCGTTCCTCTCCGCAGGAGGAAGGGATTCCTGGGGCAGCCGGAGAGACCCTGCCGGGGGTGCTGCCGCAAGCTCAGCTGGGGCCGGGGGGCGCTGAGGGCGAGGGGCAGAGGGGCGAAGGCACCTCTTGACAGCGGGTCTCTAAAGAACGTTAAAGGCTGTTTGTGTTAGCGGGGTTTCTCCGGATAAGGGAGGAGGCAGGAGGGACGCTGTCAGGCTGTGGCCAGGGACGCTGCCGGGCTCGGGTCAGGGATGCCCCTCTTTGGGGTCGCTCAGGTGCAGGCAGAGCCGGGCTGGCTTTGAGAGGCAGGAATGGGTGGTGCTGGCAGTGAGGCAGCCGGGCGCGGAGCACCGTGGGCAGCTGCCTGCTGCTGGCACAGCCCATCAGTTTGTTTTGAATTGGTTTGGATTAGCAAATGTTTGCTCAGTGCCTGCGCGCCGGCGGGGACCTCTGGGGAGCCCAGTCCCTCCTCGCAGAGAGGATTCCTCTGCAGGACTTCCCACTTGTTGGAGCCGCACCAATTGCATCCCTAGCCAAAGGCTTTCCTCTGTGTGTGCAATTCACGGAGTTTGATGATTCTGGAGTACCTGCAGTCAGGTTCATCTCGAACTAAATTTTTGCCAGGAACCTGGTGGTTCCCCTGCCAGTGTGCCAGATCTTACATGGCACATTTACAGTGCTGCCCTGTCACTCCTGTGAGCCTCTAATCCTCAGCCCTGCACTGGTGGCTCCCCTGAGTATAGATGAGCACCCCAGGTGTTGTTCCAGTAATTCCTCCCCTAACAATGGCTCCGAGTTCCACTCCATGGTGGAGGCACTGGATTTTGTGGTTATGAGTTAATTTTGCTTCTTTCCTTCAAAAGGAAAATGCCATGTGAGTCCAGAGAGTTAATCACTATTGTAGGGGAATAAAGAGTGGGTATTTCCTCTAATCCCCTTTAAATGGCCTCCAAATGAGGGCTTGACAAAGATGACTAATGACAGACACGATTAAACTCATTTAGTAGGTGAAGCTTCAGCGGGAGCCCCGAAGCCCAGGTACAGCCTTAGGGCCCAGCAGGAACTCCCCCAGCTCACTCCCAGCCCACCTTGTCCTCGGGCTTGAGAGATAAACAAACTCATTAGCTTTGTTTTGTTCTGTTTTGATCAGAGGATGCCCTATTGAAAATATTTTTGTCTCTTTCTGCAAACCTTTTCCTTGCTGCTGCCAAATACAATCTCCCTAATGGGATACGAAATGCAGATTCAGTTACTAGCCAGCTGCATCCTCCTCTTTCACCCCATCCCTCCCCTCAAAGTGTTCCCGCTGAACACACGAGTGTCTCACGAACTGATAACAGTAATGAAATAGAAAGTCAATGGAATGTGCCTGGGGACCTCTGGGAGCGTGTCTGGGCACCTCTCTGAGGAAGACGCCCTGAGCTCTGGGCATGTGTTGTGCCAGGAATGCTACCATGCCCAGCCCTGCTCCTCTCCTGGTCCCAGAGGTGCCTCTGTTTTGGTGTTCACCCCTCTGGGGTGGGCACAGGGCAGGACCCGGCCCCGGCTGGCCGGTGCCACAGCCATGGGTGGGGTGGCCTTGGCAGGGATGGCCCCTGTTCTGCAGGACGTGGGAATTCCATGAACAGGGAACACGTGTGGCAGCAGCGAGGGCTCAGGTGGCACCTGCAGCATCAGTGGGATTCAGCAGCATAAATGTCTCTGACACGGGGAATGGGATGGACAGGTTGAGCTTTGCCCTCCCCTTCCTCACTGTGAGCTGGTCACTCTTCCCTTTGATTTAAGGATTGCCCACACCAGTGACTGCCCTGTCACCCATTCCCTGAATCCCTGTGGCAAGCTGCAGCCTGTCCTTGCTGCTGCTCCTGGATAATGATAATGAACCCTCATCTCTGCCACACACCATGAGCAGCACTGGAAGGTGCCCCTTCCAGGCCCATAATATAACAAAACCTGTGCAGAAAAAAGGGCAAAACTGGGGGTCCCATGCCTTCCCCACAACAGTGGGAGTGATTAATGGTGCATCAGTGCAGTCCATCTTGCTTTTGTTTAATTATCGTTTTTTGTATTGTTCGTGTCTCCAGAGACCCGACCGGCTGGGAATGGTTTGATGGATTATATATGAAATCCAGGTCAACACATCCAAGTGTTATTGCCTCATAATTTGCTGCACCACAGAGGCTGATAGAGATGCCTCATGTTATTAATTATGCCAATATATTTTCCTGAGCAATGTGATTAATCAGGCTGTGTACGGTGTGGCCACGGGCCTGGCCTGTGGCTGTTTGTGCTCGGGTGGAGGTGGCTGGCAGCAAAATCTGCACTCAGTCTCAGTCCTTCTCTTCCAGAGAATTCAGGGGAAAATAGAATTCCCAGTGCTGCACTTTGTGTGCCAGGGAGCCACGGGGCAGTGGGGGCAGAGCACGGGGCTGCCTCCGGCTGGGCAGCTGCTCTGGGGGGACAGGCACTGCCAGGGGACCCCGAGATGCTGCCCAGCACAGGGGGCTTGTGTTAGGGGTGGATGGCACTTGAATCACAAAGACTTGTTTGCTCTCACTGAACCTCTGAAAAGTGTACCCATGAAGTTTTTCCTGTAACTCATTTTCTTTTCCTTTCCAAGCTCCCAGTGCAGGATCTGTGCTGTGCTGAGCACGGTGGGCTCTGGCACCTGCAGGGGCACAGGGGGCTCACCTGCTCACATGTCCTGGTAACTGCTGCCAGTCTGCAGGGTCCCAGCAGAACACAGTGTTTGCAGCTTTGCACAGTGTGGAAAGGTTCACAGGAAAACAGGTTTTGACAGAAACCTCTCCAGCCTGTCGGGCACATTTGCTCGGTGTTGGGGCTTCAGCCTCCCTGGCAGCCCTGACCTCAGGGGAGCCCTGACCACGTAGGCTCCCCAGAGTGCCACAGCTGGCACCAGGACCAGGGCAGTCCGTGGTCCCCAGCTCAGCATCCCCAAACCCTGGCAGAGGTGGCTGAGCTCTGCCAACCTTCCCGTGGGGACACGACCCTGACTCTGAGCTCTGCTCCTGCACTGCAGTGGAGCTGAATCTCCTCTGTCTTTTGTCTCCATAAAGGTCAGAGAAGAGCCGGTGCCCTTTAAGTGCCAAGCCGAGGTCTCCCACGCTGCGGTGCCAGAGGACTCGGAACAGTAAGGCAGCTGCTGTCCCTGAATGGTTGCTCCTTGCTTGCATGTACACTGGGCTGACTCCAACCATTTTCTCCCTTCTCCTCACGGGTGTGATTGGAAGGTTTGTGTCTCACACGCCATCCAGGCCTGGCAGTCACACAGACCCGAGAGCCGGTGATGGGAACTGCCAGTGGTGCTCCCAGACCTTGAGCTGCTGCTTTCCCAACACCAAGTTATCCCTGCAGCAGGAAGGACAGGACATGGGGTGGGGGTGAGTCCTGCCAGGCCATGGTTGCGGATCCCCAGCAGTCCCGTTTTCCTGCAGTCCCAGGCAGGCTGTGTGTCAAGCTTAGACTCCCCAACTGCTGAGGGGACCTGGGGGCTCAGGGGGCTCAGGGGACTCAGTGTCTCCACCTTGGCACGGGATCCAGGAGCCCTCCCCTGGCCAGGGGTCCCGTGAGGAGCTGGGATGGATGTCCTGCCCCTGTCAGGGCACAGTGCAGTGCTCAGGGTGAAGATGATCCCCTGTCCCCTCCCTCAGCTCTGCCTGGAAGGCACTGGGAGCTCATTATGAAGTGAAGCCTTCCTGGGATGGTCCTGCCCCAGCAACTCACCCATAAGCTGGGAGGAGCCTCCCTTATTCTACATTTAGTTCCTGGGACTTACTTTCTACCCTGGGCCAAGCTCATTGCTGAAAATGCCTGTTAGAGGTTCCAGTCACAGTCAAAATTCCATCAGAAAATGAACTATGACCGAAGTCACGTGGAGCTGGCAGGGATTGATGTGCTCCAGGCAGCTGGAGCCCCTGTGTCAGTACCTGGGAGGTGCCACCACGCACACACCGTGACCACTTCCAATTTCACACCACTTTGAACTCACTCTCATTGAGGCTGGGGAGATGAAAAATGTCTTTATTAAGGGAAGTCACAGGTCCCTGACTGGGAGCTAAATGAGTTTTAATGTGAGTGAGGAGAGCAGGAAAGGATGCAGGAAGGAAGGTGTGGTGATCCCTGGCCTCCCCTGGGAGCCTGGCAGGGTACAGCACCTCCCAAAAAAGGATTGTCCTTTGGTATTCCTGCTGCTGTGATCACCTGGCGATGGTTGGTGGCATTCACTTTGGGCCAGTGAGGTGACATGGTTTCCATGGGTGGGGGGAGGTGACCCTGCTCTGCAGCCAAGATGCAGAGCTGTAAAACAGGGATTTGGGAGGGACACACAGCTTGTGTGTCCCCTCAGCCAGGGTTCAGGTGTGCACCCCATCTCCCATGAAATGCTGCAGGTGTTCCTGTTCTCTTCATTCATAGCTCTGTTTATTCCTTGAAATGTGTCAGTCCCAGTCCAATGTTTCCTCCAGTTTCCCTGCCCCAGTACTGGTCCAGCTGCTCTGCAGCAAAGTCTCCTGGACCAGGATCACCCTTCACTGCAGAGGCAGAAGAAAACATCTCAGTGGTTTTTCTCACTATCCTTTGGGCACAAGCCCTGGTGATGGCCACGGGCTTGCTGGGCTGCTCTGCTCCATCCAGACCTCCTGACACTTATTCCCAAAAAGGAATCCCAGGATGAGTGGCCATCTGTACATGGACACACATGTGCACACAGGTCTGTAATGTGCTTTAACAATTTACTCAGTTAAACCTGCTGCTATCCGTGCTCCTCCCACGGGAGTGCTGGTGCTGATCCCCCGGGGCACCCACGGGGGCTCCACCCGCAGTGACTCCGGAGCAGGGTGGGCACAGAGCTGAGCGGGGTGTTTGGGCTTCCCTCTGCTGGTGTTTCCCCAGCAGACCTGTGCGGGTATTCCCTCCCTAACGATCTCTCACTCTTCCATTTGCATCTTTACTCCAGGAATCAGGCACCAAACCTGGAGCGAAGTCAAGCCCAGACCCTCCTCCCGGCTCATCCAGCCCTGGAGTTTGCCCAGGGCTCTGTTATTATCCTGCATCCCTGTAATTAGCTGTTTAGGCTGTGATTGCCCCATTGTCCGCTGGATGGGTTTAATCATTCTTTTCTCCTACAGTGGCAATTTTGTTCCAATTAATTATTTCAGTTTGAACAGCAATAGCTGGTTGAGCTTAGAGAGAAATTAAAAGGGTAGGGAAGGATAATGAGGAATGAGCTAACTTGGGAAAGGCTGCAGACAGGGCTGCTTCGGTCCTGCTTCTATTCCAGCCCCTTGCTTGCTCCCCTGAGAGCCTCCCAGGGCTGGGAAATGTTGTCCCTGGAACCGAGGATCTGGAGTGACACAGGGGCACTGCCTGGCTTCATCCCTGCTTGGGAGCTCCGTGCTGGGTGTGACGGGAACAGGGAGGGAGCACACTCAGAACCCAGCCCCGAGGGGAAGAGTTGCTTGTTGTAGTGATAGGACAAGGGGGAATGGCTTCAAACTGACAGAGAGCAGGGTTAGATCAGCAACATCTGGCTGTGCCCTTTCCCTCTCCACAACATCTGGCCACTGGGCTGGCTGACAGACGGCAGCTGCCAGCTGAGGGGCAGACACAGCAGCACATCCCATGCTCCTGCTGTGCAGGGCCATGGAAAATGGGACCAGGAGGGAGGGATGGTGTGTTCAGGGAGGCTCAGGTGCTCTCTTGGCCCAGGGCGCCTCCAGCTCCCTCAGCCTCATGTCCCAAGCTAACCCAGGGCAGGGTGCCAGGGAGCCAGGGCTGGAGGGATCTGTGGGGGCTGCTGTGCTCGGAGTGGGAGCTCCCAATGGGAGGGAGCTCAGAGGAGCTCTCACCCTGCCATGCTGACCCAAACACTGCTACAAAACACGTTATGTCACAGCAAACCAAGATCACCAAATCCCTCATTAACTTGGGGGAATTGCCCAGCGTGGGTGATTTGGGATGAGACTGATTTAGAATTTTAAAATAAATAAATTTAAGGTTAGCCAAGGTTTTGAAGGGAGAGGAAAAACCATTAATGCCTTTCAGGAGTTACAAAAATGCTGCCTGTGCAATTCATGTATAATTCAGCGAATTCCAGAGTAGTTTGAATATTTAAATTATGTATGATCAAAGCAATAAAAAAAATCTCCGTTTTCTCACTTCAAGCCCCCCAGACACAACGCTCTCCAGTGCCCCCTCCCCAAAAGGCAGCTCCTGCCTCTGCACTTCCAGAGCTGGTGAGCCTCATCGCTCCCAAGAAATTGAGTTAGGCTGGAAAAATACAGCCTGCCAGTGCGGCTGCTGCTCCCTGATGCAGGTGGGTGCATCGCTCAGCCAGCGTTGCCAGGGCGATGGGCACAGCCACCACCACGGAGGGGTGATGGGCACGGCACGGGGCGTGGGGAAGGAACCCCCCACAGCTGAGCTCCCGGAGGATGGAGCTCCCAGAGGATGGAGCTCCTGGAGGATGGAGCTCCCAGAGGATGGAGCTCCTGGAGGATGGAGCTCCTGGAGGATGGAGCTCCCGGAGGATGGAGCTCCCAGAGGATGGAGCTCCCGGAGGATGGAGCTCCCGGAGGATGGAGCTCCTGGAGGATGGAGCTCCCGGAGGATGGAGCTCCCGGAGGATGGAGCTCCCGGAGGATGGAGCTCCCGGAGGATGGAGCTCCCGGAGGATGGAGCTCCTGGAGGATGGAGCTCCTGGAGGATGGAGTTCCCCGAGGATGGAGCTCCCGGAGGATGGAGCTCCCGGAGGATGGAGCTCCCGGAGGATGGAGCTCCCAGTGCAGGACGATGGAGGGGTCTCGTCCCCTGCCACTGCCTCTCTCAGGAGCTCAGGGGACTCACTGCACGTTTCCCCCAGGGATTCTTGGTCCCATCCTCCAGGCCCCTGTGGATGTGTCTGTCTCCTCTCCCAGCTCTGGCGCTCAGGGGCTTGGCCTTGGCCGCTCCCCTGGCTGTGGACAGGGAAAAAAAAGGAAAATACCAACTAACTGCTCTCTCCGCCTGTCCCTCCACCCCCTCTCCAGATGCTGTAAATTTTCATTAGTACTCTGTAATTTAATGATCTATTCCCAAGAGAAAATTATTCTTCAATTTACAAAAACTTCCCTGTTAATTTAAGCATAATAGTAGGGAGCACTGCAGTGCCAGAGCTGCATCCTGCGCCCCCCAACCCCCTCCCACAGCCTGGCAAAGGACAAGGGCAAGGGACAATTCCAGTGACTCACTAAAGGCCACTGGAACTCTCCTAATCAAGACTGCAAGTGGGTTCTTGGGAGCAGGAAAAGCAACTTTCTCCTGAAACAAGAGGTTATTTTGAACCTGGCAAACACCAGTTCAGCTGGAGGTTGATGCTGGAAGACTGGGAGAAAATGTGCCAGGCTTGCCAGGAATATGCTGGGTCAGTGGGGAGGCAGCTGCCACCAAACCCTCAGGGCTTTTAACCAGTCAGTGCCAGGCCCTGCAGCATCCCTGGCAGATCAGCCTGCAGACACAGTGTGGTCCCTGGGTCAGGGAGGACCACAGTGCCTCTGTCTGGGGCTGCTGCAGGTCCCTCAGTGCAGAGCCAAGGCTCCAGGCTCTCAGCATGCCCACCCTGCCAGTGCTGCCCATGGCTGTGCCCCCCTTGGTGCCGAGGGACTCGTGCAAATGCCGAGTGTTGGCCGATACTGAGACGGATGAGGCTGGCTCTGCTCATTAGAGGCTGTGGCAAAGGGTAGGTGCTGGGAGTCTCTGTGCTGGGGAAGAGCTGCAAGGGGAGCTCATTAACTTGAAAAATTGGGTCCAGAGGGCTCATTTGTCTGAGATCAGTTCCCTGTTTTTTCCAGTAATATGGAAAATGAGGGAGGGGGATCTGAGCCTCTCCTCAGTGACCGGCGCTGTGATTTACCCCTTCCTCATTCATGTTCTCTCCTGCAAATTGCCTTTAATGCTGTTTATCTTCCATGGGCCTTAAGCCTACCCCTGTGGAATGTTTGTGTCCCTTCACTCCCATGATACTGTACCCATGGGACAGAGCAGACACTCTGACATGTTTGCTCAGCCTGGCACCACAGGGATGCCTTTGAGGGGCTCATGATGCCCCCCTGGCCAGGCCTGGGTGGTCCCTGGCACCCACTGCCAGGCACTGCTGGATGGGCTTGTTCTCTGATCCCTGGTGTCCTGCAGGAGGGAGTTTGTGCCCCTGTTGCCTCCCTCGGGGCTGTGGTGGG